ACAACTTATGTTTGGGCACCTCACAGGAAAGCAGGGAGATGAAAAGCCTTAGCCAAACTTTGACAAACAACTTGGAGTGTTTGACCAGCTCTGCACAGCTGCTGCTGAATGAAGAATGCAGGTAACATGCTGAACAGAGACGAGAGGTGATCAGCAGGGAAGGCAGCTTTTGTAGTTGAACTGAGCATTTTATATTGAGGAAAGGAGGGGAAATATTCTGAATTACCTGTAGAAGGTGTGCCTGCTTTTGGTAATAGACATACCCAGTTTATGCACTAATTCCTAACCGGTCAGATCCTGTACTGATGTGCACTGGAACTGCTCTGAGATCACTGGAGATACACCCATGCACAGCACCTTAATTCGACTGATATCATCCCACCCATTTAAACATGTCTTACAGACATGTTTGCAGAGCTGAACTGAAATATCTCTGCCCCCTCCAATTCCTGATCTCAGGCAATGTCGTCTCCTCATAAATCCTGGATACGATAGCACCAGTGTGACCCATCACTTCATTACACCAATGTGCAAAGCTGTGTATTGTACTGAGGAGGAGTTTATCTGGTCAGAATGGATCCGGTCCAGGAACAAATAAAGAAGTTAGGAATCTGATTATTTCTGGGCCAATTCTGTATGAATTACAGCTTCTCAATTTTCCTGATGTCAGCTAGTTCTACTCTGCTGTCTTCCCTCCCCACACAGGAGGTGAAGTATCTAGCTAGCAAAGGCATTTTGATTGCCTCCACCATTTAGCTGATTTCTCAACAATTCAGGAGAGCCAACTGGAATTTTAAGTCAGGTTGGGATGAAGCATACCATATTCAGTGTTGTTTGAGCACTGGCTCTTCTGGTGCATGCCAAGCTTGTTTCAATGGGGATCCACCTCACTGCCAGGGTCAGGGGCAGTATGTGGATCCTCAGGTATCTCCCCATCTGCCTCATCAAGTTCTGTCTGGGAGAAGCAGCCTGATTTCTGATCCCAATGAGGGATCCTTGTATAGAGCAGTGATTTCCTGGTGACCAGATACAGTGGGCTTTTGTACAGCATTTTTCCACTATCAGCAGGAAGGAATTAAAACAAGATAGTAGGTCTGGCTTTAAGATGCTCTGCATTGATTCGGGCATGAGTTGTAGGGAGAAAGAACCGTTTCTTCAATTTTAGTCAATAATCCAAACTTTTCTTTAGGATTGCTTTCCAGTGATTTCAGACATAGTGCAAGGCTAAGAGAGAACAGCTATTTTGTTTAGTCTGAAATGGTATATATCACTTGTTTATTTCTTCAAGGGCATTATGTTTTTCCATGTATTTACTTAATGGTTTATATTTGACTAATGCACATCTTTCAGAAAGGCTTTCAAACTGGATTCAATGATTGCTGGAATTTCCTATGTTTTCCAAAACATGAAAAATTACATCAGTGTGTTAAGAGCTTCCCCTGCTATGATTCTTCTAAGCAAGTTTTGCAGACTTGATAGCTTTAGCAGACATAACTTATGTAGGTACTCACTAAGGTTTTAAAGTATTTAATTTGTCTTGAATGTTCATTGGAATTAATATCTCAGACCAAATACAGGGCTGCAATATTTAATGATCCCTTTTGTCTCTTCTGCACATCTGGGTTGTCATTTCCAGGTAGGCTGATACTTGTGTATAGGACTTGCAAAGTTCAGTGGCTTTCAGCAGAAAGGGAGATGTAAGGGGAACTCGTGGGCGTACATCCTTAGCTGCAGCATGGTCACAGCTCCTCAGTTACAGTTTTTGGCACTTTTCTTTAGTCTCTTTAGGGCCTTACAGAAAGTTAGCTGGGTGTTCCATCCTGCTCCCTCCAAGGTGTGTGCCTGCCTGGTCCTTTTTTGATGTGCATGTTCCTGTGCTGTAAAATCAGAACTGGTGAAAAGCTAACTTGCTTGTTTAATTTATCTTCCAGTCCTTGCACTACAGGGGAATTAATCCTTTTCCGGGAGCTAAGGACCAGCTTAGCACTGGTAACTGAGTACCAGGTGGCATCTTCAACATCACCTTCAACACTTCAGTGCAGAAATTAAAACAAATGTCTTTTATTACAGAAAACAGTTTGAAAAGGAGTGCAGCGTTTTAGCCAGCCCCCAGAGCTTGTAGCATGAAGGACATCTAGTGTGAACCCACAGTGAAGACCAATGTGGAGCTCCCTTGCTGGGCTTCTGTTACACTGCAAAGTTTTGGTCCATGGGACAGGACTTCCTAGTGCCAAATATTGAGAATAGCATTAAGAACAGCTCCAAAGCTCATTTTGCGGAATTACAGTGCCATTGCCCAGAGGTGGAGGTGAGTACTCCACAGTCCTGCCCTCCTGGCAGCCTCTATGAGCAGTGAGGGTTGATGTCCTGCTCCCACCAGTGGGGATGGGAACTACCAAAAGAAGTCATTGGGTTAAGAAACTCTAGACTTGTACCAAGTAATTGAGTTGGAAATATCCCTTTCATTGCAGTCACATTAATTTAGTGGACTAATTTCTAATCATGTAGAGGGTTAGAATTTTGAATAAGTATTTGGGTTAATAATGAATTTTGATTTTAGAGCTGTGCCCTTCCTGTCATATCTGAGAATAATGGTGTGTAGAGAAGAGTTTATTTCCAGGCTGGTATAAATAGCTGCAAGGGAAAAATCTGTATTATGTGCAACTGGTACAAATCATACTTTATCATGCAACAAAGCATGATCTTCTCCAATTCTTCTTTCTGTTTGCAAGACAATTCTGTCCTGTGCATAGCAACATTCAGGCTGTGGAGTGCCTTTGTTGTGCTTCCTTTTAATCCGTTCAGGTTCTTGTCCTTTTGTCAGTTGTTCCTTAGTGGTGAGAACCCTGTGTGCATTTTTACAACACAGATCCATGGGGTTTTTTAATTTTCAAATTAGTATTTTTCTCCTCTTAAAACTAAACTTGAACACACGTACTCTAGGATGATGACAGCCTGAACTTGTTTTGAATGCCTAACATAACATTATATTTTCTTATTAATAAACCCTTACATAAAAATAACAGAATATTGGCAGTGAATAACTCAACTGAAGAATGTCAAATCACTAAATTGGAGAAATTACTAGTTAGACACCTGGAATTGGAGCTTCTTGAGTAATAAACTAGCTTTTGACAGCTGTAGCCTCTTTTTGCAGGTGCAAAAAAGAACATTTTCTTCTTTCTATTTTATCTGGTTTACATCACTTACTGACTGGAATATTCCAAGTTGGGAAAAGAACTGGGAGTTGAAAGAACAGGAAAATGTGTTTATCCTCTCCCATATTATGAGCAAAAGGTGTGTGTGGTGGGGTGTGTGTCTGACTAATTCTGATCTTGGAGAGCGTGGAAGTAAGGAAATAATAGCACAGCTGATTATTTGCTGATAATATTTGCACTGTTAGATGCAGCAACTACCTTGAAATCCAAGGAATATTTTGATAATATTTCCTAAAATACGCAAGACACAATGTAGTTCTCCTTAAACAATTATGTTCTTCTGGATATTGTTGTTCAGAAGCAGCATGACACAAAGCACCCCTAAAGAAGTTCATCAGGTGACTAAAAATGCTATGTCCTGTTTTCTCCCAAATCAAATGTAAAAAGAAAACCCCAAAATAAATGCTGAGGTATATGGTGACGTAAGCGTGGTTTTGATGTATTCTCTTAGTTAACAAAAATAAATATTAAATGCAACCTCAAAGCCACCTTTCTTTGCAATTAAACATTCTAATTAGTTGTCAGTCTCTGAGAATAACTCTTTCTTATGAATATCTGTTAGAAGGCACAATTGCAATGCAAATTGAGTTACTTAAATTGTTGTTTCCTGGTTCTGATTTAAACCACAATTAAGAAAACTGATTTAAATCAAAGTGATATAAATTGGTCCATCCTGCTTTAAAACTAATTAAGGATGTGCCTTGAAAGCATGCTTATATCAGTGCTCTAACTCAGTGGCTTCTCGGTATCACTCAAGTCTTAATAAATCACAGGAAGAGATGGAATTTTTATTTAGCTGAGCAGTCTCGATCTCTGAATTTAAGGCCACTGAAGAATAGATTAACATTTATAATTACTAGGTTGATCAGTAATGCAAATTGAAAGTGAGGATTTCAAAACAAATTGACCTTTGCAGCGCATCACGCAGAGACAGACGGTGAAAACTTTGAAAAGGTTTCGCTTGTCCTTGAAGTGGTTTGTCACAAATCACTGTATCCTCTGTGGTGCTTTACTGCTCTGCTAGTAGCCTCTGGAGTCACAATGTCCAAAAAACAAACTGTGATAACCAAAAGAACAACATGAATGGTTTGAGGCTGGCAAATCACTGTATGGGTTATTGTTGTTTTGTGTCGCTCCAGGCAGACTTGTATATTTGGGGACTAAGATTAGGATGTTTAGGCTAGGGCCAAATGGGTTTATAATTAGATGTGTGCAGGCTCTGACCTATTAATTGAGGCTCGTGCTTCCCTGCATCTGCCCTCCACGTTTGATGAGACCGTGCTTTAAAGCAGTCAATGGAAAGAGGAACATCTGTACCTGCATGCTTCAAATCTGCCTGTCCCAAACTTTGCTGAGAACATTTCACTGCTCAAGAGGCAGCTCAGCCTTTTTCCAAAAGCTGTCCCTCTTTGGGATACCACATGGATAGGACAGGACAGTGTGTCAATATGGTCTGTGTTGTGTTTATTTGTAAAAGTAACAGCTAGCTCTCACCTGGAGAAAACAGCCGTATGTGATCAGCACTACATGTGTGTCATGCTCCTCCCTGGGCAGAAAAGTGGTCACAACTGGAGAAGATTGAATGGAATTTTATGGCACCAAATCTGAACAGGTCTGAGACAGTTCCTTCCATGCTTAGACATCTACAGAGATTGGAGACTGTCAAATGCAAGAAAATGTTACACACATTCATGGAGGGATGTGTGGGGAAAGTGTGGGGTAGGCTGGACAACCATGGAGGGAATGGAAAGAGCAATGGTATCACCTATTAGAGCAACCAGCTTTGGTCTCTTCTCTTGCAGGTATGTCAACTCTTAGAACGCTCTTGTCAATCAGTGTAGCCCATGAGGTCTCCAAGTTCACTGTGATGTAGTCCTAAGGAACAGGAGATAAGGTAACTGTGCTGCCAGTGTAAGCACGCATGATATGTTTCTGCTGGGATCTGTAGGCTCCCAGAAAATTGCTGTTTTCACATCTACAGTGGTTTGACCAAAATTTCAGTTCCTTTGGACAGCCTTTATTGCCTTCAATTCGTATTGCTGATGACTGAAGTAGAATGCAGAAGAAATGCTCTCCTTTTCTCATAACTTAACTGAGTGCTTCCACAGTACTTAGCAGAATTGAGTAGTCAGAAACCAAGGTGGAGTACATGACCCAGTAGTCTGACCGTGTGGAAAGTATTACACTATGCATATCCTTTGTCTAACAGTGAGCAACTGCATAACTTGTTTGTAAGTGGACTTGCATGGGGGGAAACCGGTAGTATTATCTCCTGATCCCAGGGCTCCGGAAGGATGTAAATAGGGAATGCATAGTGGTACTAAAAGACTCCTCTGAACAGAATACTTTGTTGTTATTGTTGTTGTTGCTAAGTTTATAAACAGAAATGAAACTAAGCCAAGCTAAACTAAACAGACTAGAATAAACATAGAACTGTTGTAGCTATTGTCCTCACCAATAATTGAGAGTGAATGGTATTTTGGCTAACAGGAAAGCAAAACCAGGGAGGTTCCTTAAAGGTGTCCAAACTTGAGCAGCAGAAATGCAAAACGTTTTTTTCTGTGGTTGAGCATAGATGAGCAACCTAGCTCCTGATGGGGCAGCATGGGCTGATGGCACTAGTCAAAGCTCAGTGGTCGGCTGTATGGTGCACCCACAGGCATGTGAGGTGGGGACAGACCTCTCCTTCCTGCCAGGGCCACAGTAGCCACTTCATACTAAGATGCTCTTAGCTTCTGTCATCCAAAGGATGGTAAATGTGGGTGGAAGGTGAAGAAATGTTGATGTGGCAGGTATTGATAAGGCTACTGTGTGGTGAGCCAAATACCTGGAATATTTGTCAGAAGTTTTGGCAGACAATACAAGATGCAGTCTGGAAGAAACAGGTACTTGTCTGTCTGTCTTGTTCAGTGGTATTGGCAATAGCAGCTAATTAATAGGTGGAAAATTATTGCTCTTTTAATGCATGCAAAGATTGCGCAACAACCATAGACATCTATTTCAACATGCCTTGCTTTGCATTGCCTCATTTTTTCTCACCTAAATACACTGCAGTTTGTTCAATAATCTCTCCCCTTCACCATGTTCTATTACTTGCTGAATAATTTTAGGGTTTTTTTTCCCTGAGGGGAATGAAGTATTGCACATGGACTTTTTCCAAAACCAAAGCTCTTTGGTATGGTCCTTTCTGGTCTGTCTTGTTACTGATATTTATACAGATGTACTGACAAACCCAGATTTATTGCACTATTTATTGGACTAAATTCTAGGTTATTTATAACGTAGTTAGATGGCTGTTTACCTGACATGTCACAATATCTATTTAACACTTCTCCAGCTGTCTAGCTGGGATTATGACATAAAACAGTATTTATCATATATAATCCAGAAAATGTTACAGGAAGAGTAAATTCTGAGTGAGAAAGACATAACTATCTGAGTAATGGAGGGACAAAGAACAAAGATGTAGTGCTAAACAGCAATTCTCAGCCGGGCTGAGGGAGGGGAATATTTAGGATGTGAGGAATTCCAGGTGCAGATTTTAAGTTCTCTAAAGTGCACCAGCACTCTGCCTAACAGCTGACCTTTCCCTCATGAAATGGACATTTTTCATTTAGAAAAGGAAATGAGAATCATCTTTTTTTGAGGTTTCCTCCTTCCCCTTTTTTTGGCACTGATTAAGCAGAGTTAAAAGTTTCTATGGGACCATTTTCAGTAGGGAACAATTTAATAAAAATCCACCATTTCACAAGCAGGTGTTACTTTGACATTCTTATGCTTCATGTTAAGGTGGTATTGACTGTTCTGTTTCACTGTGATGGGTTCAAACAATGTTTTTTTTTCCTGTATTGGTGTTTTTTTAGCTATATGTTTCACTGCTGTGTGATCAAGACAGTTTTTTGCACCACCAGGACAAAAATCTTTAGAATTTATTAACATATATGGTCCCTTTTCTTATTTAAATCAGAAAATGAATTCACATATTGAATATCCCATGAAGAAATCTGGATAAGGCTTGCCTGCAAGGAAAAAGAGACTGTAAGGGCAATAACTGACCAAAAGAATTATGGATTTGCTTTACAAAAGAGTTTCCTGTAATCTTCACCAAATGCAGATACTGCAGGAAAACTAATCCCCCATTTTCATATACAGACACAGGCCATCTTAAATATTTCACCAAAAAAAGCCAGTCTCGTAACCTCTGTTTAACAGATAGACCCATTTCTGTGGGAGGATGCGGAGGAGAGAGGAAATGAGGCCAATGGAAGGTTGTGCAGGTGTGAGGGTGAAGCTGGGTTTCCATTCCTCAGGAAGGTGTGGTAGGTGAAGGATGCAGTGTGGGATTAATGGGGTGGTCCTCCTTTTCCTCATGCTTCCTTTTTGCTCTTTCTTATGGCAAAAGAATGTGTTTGCAGACAGTGTCAGCACTGCGCAGAAGCAGCAGACCCCATCCCAGGATTTGCCTTTCCAGCCTAATTTGAAGTTGCCACCCCACGTCCCATGGGACTACTTTCTCTGTATGTATGTAATTAGCTCACTACAGGACAGCAGCTGTTGTGGACCAATAAATATGTATTTATCCTTCACTATTTACAGATGGAAAAGCTGAAATACTTCAGTCTTTAGATACTAAAGACTTGAATAATGTAGGATGAGATGTTGAATAACATGAGTCAGGACTTGGAGGAAAACTATTTGTCCAGATCACACATGGGCTGGGAAAAGTTTAAATGATGATTTTTAAAAGAAGGTAGCTGCCAGCTAAATTCAAGCTAATGCTGGTGAGAAATTACAATAGGCAATCCAAGGAATATAGAGTTTCTCAAATTCATTAGCTGCCCACAGAGGGTTAAACAGCATGACTAAAAATATTTACATAGGAATTACAGGGTTTGAACAGAATGGGTTATTCTGCTCACACCAAACTTTAAGGGAGGCGAATTAGAGAGGATTATTAGCATATTCTACTTTTCCCTTCCTTGTAAGATTTGTTGAAAAGCATAATAACATAAAGGAGCTGAAGATTCATGTTTTCATAATAGCTGTATCTGAACATTCCTGCCTGTGAAATTTATTCTCTGTGGGTGGTGATGCTGCTGAATATTTCTGATTTCTTAGCCATCCTGTTATTCCCCTGTATGTAGATCTTTTTAGTATGGATATTAACCTGCAGTCCTCTCATAGCTAAAACATTCTTTGGCTGCATTCACCTGGGCAAGGTCTTTTACAGGGAGCAAAAAGCAATATGCAGAAGTGATCATAAATATACTCACAAAAATTCATTTTTACTTTTGCCTGTTCACTCTAATTGTTCTCTTAAGGCTTGATCTGGAGCACAGAGAAATCCAAAGGGGCTCACTAGGCTGTGGGTCAGGTTTTCGGGTCACTCGTACATGGCAAGTGGTGAATAATGAGCAGCACACTACACAGTGCCAGCTCCTCGGATCTTACCTTGATGATGGAGGTAAGAATTTGGCTTAAGTGCAGTCTCAGGGCTGGAGGAGAGCATAAGCCACTCTTTCTGCACTAAAAAATAATCACAGACCTTAATGATCAGCAGTCTGGTGTGTCCCAGTAATGCTGTTCCCTGTGCCCTGATTAACTGGTGCAAACAGTGCCCCAGAATGTTTTCTCTGTAGGGTTAGCTCTTTTATGGATGGCAAAGGTCAAAAAAGTTGTAGAGTCACTGCAGGGACTTGATTTGATAATAAACATATTTCCATGTGTAATAATGAGTACTGTGATGGCCAATTTGTCCCTCCCACTGATATAAACAGGCTGGAATTAATACATGTATTTTGCAATCAGGACTGCATAAACTGAAAACTGTAAAATCATTTAGGTTGGATTTTATTTCTTTTTCCCTTTTTTTAACTTAATAAGACTCTTTAAGCTAGTTGAAAAAGTTTGCTCTTGCAGACAGAAATGTCCTTCTCCCTCGTACAAATTAGGAATTCAGGTGGGAAATAGGATTTGGAGGTGCTTTGTTGTCCTTCCAAGCTTTGCCTTGCTGTGTTAGATTCAAAGGTTGTGAGAGGTGGTTGCTGTCTTTTGTCTTTTTTATAGACCAGCATGGTATGACCCAAGACCAGGGGTTCTTGACATCATGACAGTAATTGTGATAAGGGTTTAGGAGCCTCTTGGTCAACCCCAAAACTCCCACCTGTTTCCACAGTGACAGAAACAGCCTCTTGATGAACTCTCAGCTTCTAGCACTTAGCATCTCTGAGGGTACCCCTTCCTGGTGTTCCATTGCTTTCCATACATTGGTTCTACTGATGACACAAGGATCTGGAAACAGATGTGTAATTACCAAGAGTAAGTCATATTAGTTCCAGGCTTGAGCATTTCTTTTGCTGCCTTGGACTAGAGATTTAATATATAACTAATTTCTCTTTCCTACTTTCCAAAGATGTCAGCCTTTCCATATAAATTCCATTGTCACTAATCTAATAAAGCTCTACTTTGTTCATAATTTACTGCATCATTCAATAAGCATTGTAATATTTGTGCAGGGCAAGTATATAAATCATTGTTGCCCTTCTCTACTTTTTTACTTATCTGGTTCTTTCAGGGTCACTAATCTACCTTATAGCTTTCATTTGGTTTAAATATTCTGCTATTACCTTTTACACCTCACTTTCTCATTCATGCCCATTTAAATACTTGCAGCTGCATTTTCTCAAGTAGCTATTGATGCATATTTCCTTGCTAAAGATTACTATAACTTCACCAGCAGTAATGATACGAATTATATCTGTTAGGGTTCACACATACTTTTTGCTGGTTAGAAAGACTGTTTTCTGATTTTGTTGTTATTGACCATCTCTTCTGCCTAGATTATGTAAAACACAGAAAAATTATATATATCCAGTAAAATACCCTCATTTTGACACGTGTAGGCTTTCAGCACCCAGGTCATGCTGAGAGGCTAATCAGTCCCTACTGACCTCCAAGAGCCTGAAATGTAGCTGGGTAAGGCCCAAGTCCAGCAAAGCACTTAAGGATATCCTTGTGTAAACATATGATCAGTCCTATTTTCAGTGCAATTTGGTGAGAAGTGCATTTCAGAGTAAAGCATCTCAGGAGATGCTGCTTCTTGCAAGGGCTGTTCAAGACCAGGCGGTACCAGTCACAGATGCAAGCTCAGTCCAAGATATCTTCATATTCTTGCACTGGGCAAAGTAATTCTCTTCAACTGTCATCCCCATGCTTTTAGGGAGGCTGTTGCTGTGCCCCTGCTTTAGAGTCATAGTGTGTTTGCGAGTGTGAGCTCTTAGGATGCTTGAATTTCTTTTGCCTACTGTCTAAGAGACAATTAAATGATTTAGGAGTGGGTAATCGTTTAGGTCCTGCAGGACCTGATAGCTGTGCTTGTTGTGTCATGGCTGGAGGGATCATTCTATATTCTGGCTTCAGAAGAGCCATGTGTGTTGCTGCCACGGGATTGTCACTTGTATACGGAAAAAACACAGGTGAAGCGGAGTTTTGCTGTGGTGGTTTGCCAAGAAGCAAAGCTGGGACACTTATCATCATGGTATAGAAGAAAACAGGGCTAGAAGGAGGCCATCTCATCCACGCTTATACAAACTGCTCCTGACACATGTTTGTCTAACATGTTTCTTTAACCCCACCAGCAGTGTAGGTCCCCCGGCCTCCCTAGGCGACCTCATCCAGTGCCTAATGACCCTTGCAGCAGAGAAGTTATTCTAGCACTGAACTTAGCTCTCCCTTGATGCATTTAAACCCATTGCTTTTTGTGCTTTCCCCACAGATGTGGATAATAACAGTGTCTTGCCTTCCTCTTTGCATAAACCTTTTACATAATTGGTAGACTGTTATCATGTCTCCTCTCCGCCTTCCCTCCTCTAGACTAAATAGCCCAGATATGAGGATGAAAGCTGGAATGGGTTATCAGGGAGAAAGGAAAAGGCATTGGAGGAGGAAATCAGAGAGGGATTAATCCCTCTTCCTGTGCCTACAGAAATTGACTTTTTCCTGCTGGAGGATGGGAGCTGTGGGAGGAGGAGATACAGTGTGCAGTGCTGATGATTCACGAATGCAGCTCTGTGGACTCTACCTGATTGATGGGACGCTGCCTTGCAGCCTAAGGAAGAGGGGCTTGGGCTCACCCTTTACTGAGCTGCACCACACCTATCTAGTTTGTGTGCTTAGGAAACAGTGCTTTAATATCTTATATTGGTGAGGCATGTATCCAACTCACATGTCAGCTCCTGCGAGATGTATCTGGTTGAGCTTCTGTGTATCATGAAAGCTATTTCTAGGTGCCATGTGTGTTATACAGTCAGATAAAATGACAGTATAACACCATTACCCTGCAGCAGCATCCAGGCAGCTCACTGTGAGCCATGCCAGAGAGCAGGAGCCCTCTCCTCTGATAGCAAAGAGAGGTTTCTGTTTGGAGTGTTGCCTTCCCTACAGCTGTGTGCTCCCCACCCATGCACAGGATGGAAAGCCACCCGCCACACACGCTGCCTACATGTGTTTCACAACCTGATTGCTGTTCATAAAACCAACACGTGGAACAGGCAAACACCATCTGATCCAAAATGCCCCAGGGTGTATTATGTCAATGTCACATACGTTAAGAAAGTACAGCAAGCACTCAGAGTGACTTCTTGTGTTCATAGCCCTGTTCCATTATTCACATCTGCTGTCAGAGCTGTAGCACGTACACAGCCGTTGGATCGTGGCTGTCATAACCTGGAGGAAATAAAAATAGCTCCCTGCCTGGAGACTTCCAGAAGCACAAGGTGGGGGATAACATAGGGGAAAAAATGGTTCTTCATCACTGAGCAGTCCCAAACAGCTTTCAGTGGTGCTTTTGCTTTGCTCTAAGCGCTCCAAGAACAGCACGTAAGGTGGAGCTGTTTTCCCTGGACCCCTGACGACGTGGGATCACAGGTTTATTTACATCAGAAAAGGGCTGGCCTTGAAAAAAACAAAGTATTAGAGGCTGTTTAGGACGGAGGGGAAGTCTGCTGCATTGCAAGCACATTGCAGACTAGCTCCCTCATTTGCTCATCATTCAGATGTTAAGACTCTCTGATTCAATTTCACAGTAAAAAAACCAACTTGATAAATTGCAATCTAATTAATTTTTCTTTAACTCTTCTTCTGCCCCCTTCCTCCCCAGAGTGACCTTGCAGGTGACATTTGTATTCCTGAATGAAAACCACATTCGCCCGACTCTGCAAAGGGAGGAGGCAGGGGCAGAAGAGAAACCCTTTTGTTCTTCTCCTCGTGGTTCCCCCTCACCTGCCAGGGCCAAACTCCAGAACAATTCCTAGCAGCTGAGGTTAGCTGGGGACATCTAATCCTGGTAAGCTGGCTCTGAATTCCAGCACACAACATTTGAGTTTCATCATCAGGCATTTTCATCTAATTCCTCCAGACTTCAGGAGTGTGAGTATATCTGTAAGTATGTGCTTATTTAATTGAAAAGAAAAAGAATAAATCTGTTTTCTCCTAAATCTGAACCCAAATGGCATTGATGGCAGTGACAACAGTCATGCTTTTTAAAGCTAAGCAAGCCCAGGCATTGTTTTGAGGTTGTACTGGGGTCTTTTAGGTGTACCCTGAACAACCATGTCTATAGGATGCCCAAGAATTGTGATTCTCAACAAAAGGAGGGCTGCCTCCTCTTTCCCTGATTTTCTGTAATGGAGAAAGATTGCTCTGTGCAGAGGGAGTTTAATGTATCTTGCTGAGTTTGCCGAGACCTGTCCTGCCTGTTTAAGAAGGGATGTAAGGAGCATCCTGGCAACACATCAGAGAGAAACCTCTTGGAGTTCTGCTACTCCAAGACAGGAGGATGTGGTAGCAACAGGCTGACTTTGAGGGAAATGCACCTTCCCAGGCATGAACAGGGACCAAACAGGATATGTTGGGTAAAATTGCAGTTGATTTTCTTTGGAGTCAGTCAGCAGAGATAACAGGCTATTTTTCCTACAGGAGTTTCAAAAAGAGTTCCCCATTTGGCCCTAAGTATTATCTGTGACCCAAAGATAAAACTTCCCATTAGTTCTGCTGTATCCTTTACCAGAAAGAGTATCTCCAGCATCTTTACATGTTTGCTTTAAGACCGTACGCTTTTTATTAAGAAAAAGCTTTAGCTTTGCTGTTTAGCCAGTTGAAATGAGTAATGAAAATGTTATTTGTATGGAACAAAGGAAATATTTTCTTTTAAATTATCTCATCTTACTAATTGATTACAAGGAGGCTGCTTGGACGCTTGCAGTGTACAGCATCTGGTCCCTCTGCTGGGAGCAAAGCTTCAGTCAAGCTGGTATAAACCATCCCATGGGAGAAAACAAGAGTAAAAACTGTATTTAGGGCTGCTTGTCCCATAAAGCCAGTTTAGCCCTCATGAGGAAATAATCTGGGTTTCTGTAAAGAAAATATATTAGATGTTTCTGTGGAAGATGAAACACTACTGAATATTGATAATTAAAAACATAATCTAGAAATACAAATTAAAAATTATCTAGAGAAAACTCCTTCAAGGAATAGGTATTTTCTGTTGCTCAGATATCACCGAACACGCCTGCTAGCGTAAAAACTACTTGCTATTGATGAAAAGTAATAACGTAAATCCATGGTATGTCTGAGATCAGAAAGGGAAAAGGCTAATATAAAAGTTTGCAGTAAATTCCCTTGGGATGCAACAGTCTCATTTGAAAGTGAGTTCAATATAATAATCTTCAAATATTCATGGCTGAAAATGTTTCCTAAATGGTGTTTCCAAAATAGATGTCATGAGACAGCAAATACATCCTGAGCTGCCTTCAAATCCATGGCAAATAATGTTGTTTCATATAAACACAGAGAAAATGTGACATCAAAAGAAACTACCGGGGGGAAATCATCCAGGTCTATGTATCAAGGATGAAGAAAAAGAGAGAGAAAGGACTTAAACAGGAAAGCTGCAAAAGCCAGCTTGGAGAAGCAATGTCGTTCCCAGCTCACCAACCCATCCGTGCGGTTTGTGGTTCTGATCTATTGCCTCTCAGCTCTGGCAGCTGCTTCTTGCTGCCAAGAAGTAGGTCAGAAACCCATTTTTGTCTCTATTTATTCTTCTGTGGTCACATCATGGTTGCTCGCCCAGTGCAGAGTCGGGAAAGCTTCTGAACGGAGGCTGAGGGACCAGACTGCTGTACTGAGCAGGGTGACCTGTCCTGGGCTCCCTCCATAGCCAGTGGCATGAGAGCAAAACGATGTCTCCAGCAGCAGGGATTTCCCTGGGGGTGCCCATCTCTCTCTGCTTGCTGGAAAAGGATTCTAAGGGAATTAGGGACTTAGTCTGTGGTTAAATACTTAACAGGATGAATCTGAGCCAAAGTGTGTGTAATGTGCCAGCCCCACCCTGTAAGCCTGCATCCAAGCAGTGCAGAAGGTTTTGGTGTTAATCCAGCTCTCTGTGGCCTGGGTTACAGAGTGGCCTTGCAAACGCTCATGCTGAGGTGGGGATGAATGGGGCTGTAAGGCTGAAGCAGGAAGCTAGGGATGAAGTAGAAGGCACTGTGCTGTGGCTGCTCCAGAGCTGAGAGCTGTCTGTTTCTCCTCCTGTCCCCCAGGGCTAGTGATTTTATCACCTCTGCTTGCTAGCATCCTCCTTTCCTCTCCAGGTACCAGCTGTCCTCTTTCCCCAACTCTCAAATTGTCCAACTGATTAACATAATACAGTTAAATTCAGTAATTGTTTTCAACTTGTACTTACCTTTACAGTTAGCTGCAAGATGTGCCAGTAGGATGTTCTGATTTTCCCACTCTATCATCTAGAAATTAAAGAGAAATTAAAATAAATTAACCTGAAGATACTATCTCTCCTCATGGATTTGTCTTCTTTGTATCTGTCAGGAATGCCAAACTCCTTGCTGCCTCGCCCCTCTCCTGTCAATGCAAAGCAATTGGCAGGGATGGTGGTTTTGCCATCCTGGAGCCCTGCGACCTTTGGAGGACAAGTGATCCATCTCCCTGTGGGAGACTCTTGTTTTGCCACTGGTCAACAAAATACTGTCCTCAAGTGAGCAGTTTTACAAGTAGCAAACCCATCCATTGCTTCTGCCTCAGAGCATGGCACTGTTCTGAAACTCAGCTTTGTCGTTTGTCACCAGTGGGGTGAGTTGCAGGAGACACATACCAAGCAAGAACATTAATTGTAATGTGGACCTCTAATTATGTCTCTCTAAAATATCTGCAGGGCTCAGTCAAACAGTGCTACTTTATCTGAGGGAATTGCAGTCTCTGTGACATAAAAACAAACTGCAAAGCCATTGCCTCATCATTCTGCTTCTAGCAGGTCCTGAGTTCAGCTTTTCAGACCAATTTTTCCCTTTTCACAGTGCATTTGTCAGGATTCCCACTCTGGAAAAGAAGATCAGGGCAAACAGGGACTGAGGAGAACAAAAGCTGACCCAAACCTTTGACCTAAACTTAACATAAGGCCAAATGAAACCTTAGAGGTTTGTAAATGTTCATGAAGCATTTCTACCTCCTGCTCCCCCCTCCTTTATCTTCAGTTTCTTTATACTTCCACACTTACTGTTTCTAATTGCAAGTCTAATGTAAAGCCCCACTAAATTAATGGAAAGGCTCTCACTGGTTTTTAGAGGCTATTGATTGAGCCTGCCAGAGAAAGGAGATAATTTATTTAATGAAAGTACCTTTAAACTTGAGAGAAAACAAAACCTGAAAAGAGATAAGGAAAACCAGAGGTCAGATGCAATTTTCCAGCTAGCAGCACATGTTCTTGATCTGAACCACACCCATGAAATTGATATGGGTATTGTTAACCCAGGAAAAAAAATCACTGCACAGAAACAGAGAATCACAGTGAACTGTTTAATAAGCTATAATGGTTTAATATATATTTGTATATATCATATATATAATAAAATACAAGTGTTTAGTAAGCTGCAAACCCATGGCGTTTTGCCTGTGTTTACTGTCAGCTTGCACTGTAGAACAATACAACTGGTAATCAGCTGGCATTTGTGACCTGAAGTTTCCATTTATACGTGTGAGATTGAATCTTCCCCTTGTTACCCACACTGCAACAGAAATGTCAATCCTATGGAAACTTTATTAGGAAAATAATACTCTGCTGCTGATAAAGTTTTTAACTTTCTAGGTGACTTTTGTTAGAAGGGGGTAGAAATGTGGCTGTTTATAGGGCTTAATATCACCTGAGCTTCCCTGAATGAAGCATTAGATGGTCAGAATAAAAGCATTCTTATCTGAGTTACATTCAGGATTCACAGATGAGGGACTTGTGGAAGGCTGGTGAAACCAGCTCAAGCAGAAATTAAGCCATGGCTTTTCTTGGAAAGCTGTTGTTACACTGTCATTTAGCAGTGACAGCTCCGATGGACTGGTGTTGTCAGTTCAGAGCCTGGTCTCTAAAGTGCTGACCTGCCTCAAGATCCTGTTTTGCACGTACAGATTGAGTGTTTTGTGTGTGCAGACTCATATGGCTGCATGTTTTACTTGTGAATACATGCACAGCTTATCTAGAGAATTGTTTCCCAATACTTGTGTAACAGTTCTGATTTTCCCAGTCAGTGGGTAGATACACACAGAACAGTGTGTGTTCCAGAAGCTGTTACTCAGTCTTAATAGGAAACACAGATGTGGGAAGTGGTCCTAGGAAGGTGCTGCTAATAAGCAGCCACTGGTTGTTCATGTTTCTGTAAATGAGCATTATTTTGTTATTATTTGCATACAAATTTTACAGAGAATGGGGTTCATTTTTTTTTTGTCATACTCTGTTTTCCATCATTTTCTTTTTTCTTCTCTTTGTCTTTTTTCCCCTCGCTCCTACTAGATTTTCTTGCTGAACTCCCCCCGAGTCTTCCCCACTGTCAAGTCTGGACTGTCTGGTCACTGCCAGCAATATGCTCACTGTCTTTCTTGGAGTGCCTGACAACAGTGATGGCAACCCCTCTCTGTGAGACCCTGTGCTGGGGACGCTGAAAGGCTTGCTGCCTTCAGAGCATCTGCTGGGTGACTTTGTCTTTGGAGATTTGGCCAGTTCTGTCCATGCAGTAACCATTGTTCAGCTCCTAAAAAGAAATACAGACCTTGACCCAAAGGTGCTGGCTGAGGTCTGTGGACCATCCAGTGCGGGGTAGAAGCAGTGGAGGGAATCCTGTCCAGAGTGATCAGGGACAGAAAGAACTGATCCTATTTGTTTTTTTCACCCCAAGTTAGAATCTATCTCTTTATAGAAATCATACAGGGCATGAATGCCTGGAAATGAAGCAAAATGTACCAGACATAAGCTCAGCACATTCTCTGTAGTTCAGTATCCTCTAAAGACTCATTTGTCCCTTTCCTCCTTTTAAATATTTCCTCTCTTCTTTCTGGCCTGATCTTGTTATTTGTTTCATCAGCCAGTTGTTATCCAACTCTTGGCGGAATATCAGGGAAATCTTCCTGATCGTGAACTGGAAGGGAACAATGTGAAAGTTGTTCCCGTGGACTTTCTTAAGGGAACAGGGACTGCTTCTTTACTTGGGACAGCTGAAAACAAGATAAGACCAGATACTGTCTTTGCTGAGACAAAGTTTGCGGGAGCTGTGATGTGCTTTGTGGGCTCAGTTGTGTATCTGAAGAAGTTTGTCCTCCTGGGCTTTTCTTTGGTTTTTAACTGCATTAAGGTGTGGTTTCTCCCTCTAAAACTTTCCTCACTGCTCTGATGGTGGTCAAGTAGGCAGGGATGGACTGAACTGCTGCCTGGTGGGAGCTGAGCTCCATGTGTGTGACTCCATGGAGGTGGGTCTTCTCATCTAGGGGTGGAGATGCCTTTCTGGCTACAGGCAGCCCAGATGGTCATTAAAACAAGCAAGCCATGTGCTTTCATCTCTCCTGAGTCCACAACTTCCTCAACCCAGACGAGATGGGCTTAGACCCAGTCTGGGCCTTAGTAAGCTTTTCACTTTCAGCCTTTCACTGAAGGTTTGCCTTTACTCTGGGATTATCCTGACATTCAGCTGCTGTTGGGTTCCTCTCTGCCTCCTCTCCAGCTGAAAGCTTATAGCTGAGCTGCGCAAGTGTGTCCTGACTTCAGAGCAAGCTCAGGAAAAGGCAGACTCCCTTGGCAGGTCTCCGACAAGCCTGTTACTACAAGTTCACCCCAACCGGCAATTCTGGCAACCACAGAAATCTGCATGAAGTTCATGTTAGTTCAACGACAGCTCATGTTGCCAGGAATTCAGTAGCTCCTTCTAACTGTTTGAATATCAGCTGAAAGACTTAAGTGCATTTGCCATGCAGCCTCTCTGAGAAAGGCATGAGGGTAGGTGGGGAAGCATTTCCTTTTCACAAATACCATGGCACGACTGAGTTTTAGGATGTCATCTGACAGGACTGAAGATTATAAGTCCTAATACATAGTTGTCGTCTCTGCAAGATATAATAGCATTTAGGTTAACTTCCAAAACAGCATAAGACATAGAACATACAGTTTGTATAGTCATTTCCATTTCCACTCACTTGATTCATAAGGTTGTATGAAAATTGCATAAACACAAATATTTGTACAGCCTTTCTTTTGAAATAGTTTCTAATGCTTCTACTGTATGTATTAAAACACAGCCTGTTCCAAAAGCACTTCCCCCCCCCGTGATGCATTATGTACATTATAGCATCTGCAATATCTTCAGCTGCTATAGAGGCTTTGCAGAGCTGAGGATGTTCATGCTGAATAGATTCTGTATTTTTGTTCCTCAGGTTTGTGAAAAGTCTTTTGCTCAAAAAAACCCCAACCCAAAAATCTCTTGGTCAAAGTTGATTTCTTTTTTCATCTGGAAGTTGAATTTCAGTGTCAAATTTCAGTGGATTTTTAATGAATGGCATTATGCAAATATTAGCAACACTGCTGACATTTTCTGTCCTCTTCCAGCTTCTGATAAATTAACAAGGATTAATCATTGTCTCACCCCTTCAGCTGGGGGAATGTCATTTAGTCTAGCTGAAGACTAATGAACTAATTCCAGCCCTTGACTAGATCTGGAGTGAGCTGTTGGCTTCTACAGCTCCCAACAAATTTCTGCAGTGCAAAGGTAAAAGCATGTCCTATGACCTGGTCTGGTACCTGTTCACACACTACCTAATGATGTACCCTCAGGTTTTGGAGCAAGACCGCCTCTATTCTGCTGGAAAAGGGCTTTGCAAAGAGGAAGCAAAACTCCTCCCTGGTGCTATGCAGAACAGGCTGTGGCTTTGCAGGGATGACCATGGGAAGTGGCATCTGTGGGAAGAGATGGCTCCTGCCCAGCCCTGGGAATGGGAGGCATGTCCACAGTGGGAGGCAGGCTCACGGGGTTCCTGGTTCTCACCACTGAGTATTGTTCAGAACAAACGAAGATGCTGTATATGAATGCAAAGCTTAATTTGTGGTTTGTACACCCACTACATTTCTTGGAGTTGACATTTTCTGCAACTTTAGGGCTTTTTATTTTCAGGCTGTGTTATTGGGGGGGTTTCTTGTTCACTTTATAGAAAGCTAGCTGCCCATGTTTTTTCATCTACATAATAAAAGAGCATGCAATCAAATTGGCCCACGCTTCAGCCAAAGCAGCTCAGTAATGCTGCCATAATCCTTTACTCAAAGGTGTACAAACCTGGAAAGCAATGGGGACACATGTTCAGTTGATATAATGTAGTGCAGCTGCACCATGACATTGCTTGGGTGGATTCTGAAAAATTTGGAGGAATTCCCTGGGGAAATGTGGAGTTGGAAAAAGAACAAACTCAAACCTTGCTTCATCCACTGTTCCCCTTTGTGCCAAACAGTGAGAGCAAAGTGACTTACTTTTCAAAAATGCCTTGGACCAGCTGTAACTGAACACCACATGGGCTGTTTCTTGCTCTTGATAGTGCCCAAAATGTTCAGGTCATTTTCCAGATGGGAGAAAGGTAGAACTAAAGAGACATAGAAGACAGAGGTAGGAGGTTCAAGGAAGCATGTATTTAGTGTAAGTGCAGTCTCATTCTTTCTAAAATTTCAGCCTTCTGTGATGACTTTATAGATTAAAATAGAAAATACTTTTCTGCTCTCCCAGCAGTACTGAAAAGTTGCTTGCTCCTCCTGCTCTGTGGCAGAAGATACCGCATTAAAGTTTGTACAAGACTTCGGCATGAGGTAGGTAGTGCTCACCTCAGACAATGAGATTAGATGAGATGGGACAGTCACCCTTTTTCTGGGAATTTCCAGCCAAAGAGAATAGTTGTGTGTTTTAAGTCATTGGCAAGTGGGTTGCAGCGTGGATCATGGGCAGGCATGGGATGAGGGCTGTGCAGAAGTGGCAGGATTGTTATCACCTCTTGCTCTACCATCATCAGGTGTGTGGCTCTGGCACACATCATGAGTCAAAACCCTGAATGGTGGATTTTGGCACATGAAGCAAGAAAATCAGAGACAGCTGGGAAAAAAACTGGTAGTTGCCCCAGGGAGGCATTGATGACCACTTCCCATTGGTTGGAAGTTTCTAGTCTAGTTTCAAGGACACTTTAATTTTCAAATTTCTTTTCTACTGGACATTTGAAGTCAAGTAGCAGAAATAAAAGCTGGCACAAGAATATATGCTTAGCCGCCTGATTTCTATTGTATACATCAATTATAGTAGCATACACTTTGGACTGACAGCATTTTTCAGCAAGAGTACTTTAGAAATATTAATCTCACATTGGCTATTTGTGTTGAATATTGCCCTATTCAGCAGGTGATGTGAGCCAATATTATCATACTTTTATAGGCAGCAAAACAGAAAGATTAAGTGACTCACCTAAGATCAAGCAATATGTCCAAGAGGAAACCCATTTAAGCTTGGGAATTACTGACCCAATGTGATTGAGAAATGTGGGCAGTATTTCTGATAAACTAGTATATGTGCACCTATAATAAATTAGAAATTATACTAACTTAGGATGTTACTCATTCACCAGTTTGAGGGACATTTTCATTGCATTCTATTGTGAAAGCCAGCAGGGCATGGTACTTACAGAGAGCAGTAGCCAGATCCTGCAGAAATGTCACCATGTTCCTACTTGAGCAAGTCCCAATGACTTCAGTTTCTTACAGGAGAGATGGATCTTCAGTAAGTGATTGGCCATTTGCCATTAATGGAAAGGGGCTAATACAGATGGGACTATTTCCCAAATATGGGGAGAGACTACATGATGAGGAACAGGAGTTGTATGTCTATGTGTCTCATGCAACAAGTCTGGAGGTCCAGCATCTCTGAAATTGAACACTGCTGGTATAGTAATTTTAGGAAACTAATTATCCCTTAGTTGAGTAAATTTCAGGGAAAAAAATGTTCACATTGAAAAATTGACTAACAATAGGCCTAATATATTTGTATATGCAGGAAAGGAGAAGGTAGGCCTTTTGTTCCTGGACTTTCTTCTTTTACATTGCATTATGAATACCATTCAAGAAAGTGACCTCTGCAGAATAGGTCTAATTGGTACCTAATTATGTTTCAGCAAAAATGAGCAGGGTCTCAGATTTTTCTTGGCTTGGATGTTTAAAGGCAAATTATAAGTTAAGTAATAAAACAACAGAATCATTAAACATTGATTTACATGTTTATTTTGCTATAAGAAACGAAATTTTTATTGGAACGGGATTAAACAGAGGTTTA